GTGTGTGTGAGTGTGTGTGTGAGTGTGTGTGTGAGTGTGTGTGTGTGAGTGTGTATGTGTGAGTGTGTGTGAGTGTGTGAGTGTGTGTGAGTGTGTGTGTGAGTGTGTGAGTGTGTGTGTGAGTGTGTGTGAGTGTGTGTGTGTGAGTGTGTGTGTGAGTGTGTGTGTGTGAGTGTGTGTGTGAGTGTGTGTGTGTGAGTGTGTGTGTGTGAGTGTGTGTGTGAGTGTGTGTGTGAGTGTGTGTGTGTGTGAGTGTGTGTGTAAGTGTGTGTGTGAGTGTGTGTGTGAGTGTGTGTGTGTGAGTGTGTGTGTGTGTGAGTGTGTGTGTGATTGTGTGTGTGAGTGTGTGTGTGATTGTGTGTGTGTGTGAGTGTGTGTGTGTGCGTGTGTGTGTGTGAGTGTGTGTGTGAGTGTGTGTGAGTGTGTGTGTGATTGTGTGTGTGTGAGTGTGTGTGTGAGTGTGTGAGTGTGTGAGTGTGTGTGTGAGTGTGTGTGAGTGTGTGTGTGTGAGTGTGTGTGAGTGTGTGTGTGAGTGTGTGTGTGAGTGTGTGAGTGTGTGTGTGTGAGTGTGTGTGTGAGTGTGTGTGTGTGAGTGTGTGTGAGAGTGTGTGTGTGTGTGTGAGTGTGTGTGTGAGTGTGTGTGTGAGTGTGTGTGTGTGAGTGTGTGTGTGATTGTGTGTGTGAGTGTGTGTGTGTGTGTGTGTGTGTGTGTGTGTGAGTGTGTGTGTGTGTGAGTGTGTGTGTGTGTGATTGTGTGTGTGTGAGTGTGTGTGAGTGTGTGTGTGATTGTGTGTGTGTGAGTGTGTGTGTGAGTGTGTGAGTGTGTGTGGTCCGGCAAAACAACCCCCTACCTCCTCGCGGTGCCGGACGGGCAACTCTGTCGTGGACAGCGCTGTGGGGGGAGATCCAATTTTGATTGGCTCCTCCCCTCATGGCATATGTGTCCACCACAGGGGCTAAACGGGGGCTCTGGATGGGTGCGAGGGGCTGGTAACCCCTCCACCTTCAATTAATTACCACGAAACTACGAATTAAACTGAAATATGTAACAACTAAGCTTGTGCCGGAGGCCCCGGGGGGCCAGGCGTCTATGACGTCTCCTGGCCAAACCCCAATTGGCGGAGCCAGGAGATTGAATACCTACCCTCGGGGCTACTCCAGAAACAACGAAAAGCCACTACGGTTGGCCACGTGGAATGTTCGAACGCTCACTGCAGAGGAGAGGCTGCCACTCCTCTGTCGGGAGCTGGACCGGTACCGCCTGGATCTATGCGGCATTCAGGAGGTCCGGTGGACCGGCTCTGGCTCCTGCCACCATGAGGGGTGGACAGTCCTCTACTCGGGGCAGCAGACTGCCAAACAACAGGGTGTGGGTCTTCTTTTGAACAAAGAATGAAGGGGGCGTGGGAGCGTGGCGGTGAGGTGTGGGAAGCTGTAAGCCCCAGGCTACTTTGGGCTCGCCTTCCCATCAACCGGAGGCGAGGAATGGTGGTCGTGGTTACTTATGCCCCCACCGAAGATGAACATCCGTGGAGGGATGCAGGCAAAGCCGATGAGTCAGATGCCTTCTATGACCTCCTGTCACAGGTGCTGGCTAAAGTGGCCCCTCGGGATAGAGTCATCATGTTGGGTGACTTCAATGCCCGAGTTGGTCATGATACTGGCACCTGGTCTGGAGTGATTGGAGGGCATGGGCCAGATCAGCTCAATAACAACGGTAGGAGGCTGCTAGATTTTTGTGCAGCCCATGGGCTTGTAATTACCAACACGCTGTTCCGGCATCGGCGCATCCACACAACATCATGGATGCATGCCGGGTCCAAGCAAGAACATCTGCTGGACTACATAGTGACGGACCAGCGAATGCGAGCCCATGTCCTTGACACCAGGACCTACCGTGGAGCTGATCTGCCCTCTGACCATCGACTAGTCATCTGTAAGATGCGCCTGCCATTCTTCCACTCCGGTGGTGGGTGTACACCCAGGACCCCATTCCAACCTAAAGTGGCCTGGTCTCAGTTATCTGATGAAAGTTGCAAGCGAGAATTTCATCATCGCTTGCGGCTGGGATTGGCATCGTCCCCGACTCCTCCTGATGTCGAGGGTAAATGGGCGAGGTTTAGGAGTGTGACTCATGCAGCTGCAATGGCTGCTTTGGGTACGCGGTCCAGACCTCCCCAGACACCCTGGATGACAGAGGAGTTGTTCACGATGGTTGAGAAAAAGCGACAGGCCCACTGTCATCGGCTACAGAATCCCACGTCAGAGAATGAGGAGGCTTACCGCAGCCTTCGCTCGGAGGTTCGGAGAGCCGTGAGGCGCTGCAAGGATGGGTGGTGGTCGCGGGTTGCTGAGGAGATGGAGTCTGCCTCAGTGGCCCGTGATCACAAATCTCTATTTAACTCCATCAAAAAAGTAACCTGCAGCGCCACACCTATTACCATCATTAGGGGAAAAAACGGTGATCCAATTTCCGACCCCCAGGAACAGGTTCGCAGATTTGCTGAGCATTTCTGTGAGGTCCTGGGGGAGGGAAAATCCCTCAGCCAGGAAAACATCGTGGCACAAAGTGAGGATGACCCTGCTGAGGCTGCGGTGCCTCAAATATTGGATGAAGTCACCCCCTGTGAGTGGCTGGCTGAGGTGCCATCTGCTGAGGAAGTATTGAAGGCGATCCGGAGTCTGAGACCAGGAAAGGCAGCGGGCAGAGATGATCTCCCAAGCGAAATGCTGAGGGAGGGTGGCGTTTGTGCACAGACTGCCCTATATGACATCATAACAACAGTCTGGACCACTGGACGGGTTCCGCAGGATTGGAAGGATGCCCTGGTGGTCCCCCTTTTTAAGAAGGGGGACCGCACAGACTGTAACAACTACAGGGGCATCTCACTCCTCAGTGTGCCGGGAAAGGTCCTGGCAAGGATTATTCAGCATCGCCTTGCCAGGCACGCTGAGGAGAGGCTTGCGGAGCCCCAATGCGGTTTCAGGAAAGGGCGGTCCTGCACAGATGCCATATTTTCTGTCCGTCTGCTACAGCAGAGGTGTAGGGAATTCCAACAAGACCTACATCTCTGCTTTATTGACCTGGTCAAGGCCTATGATACCATCAGTAGGCCTGGGCTCTGGGTCGTTCTTCGTGCTTTTGGAGTACCTGACCCTCTGCTCACGATCATTAAGGACCTTCATGATGGTGAGCGGGCCCGGGTAAAACTACGTGGCCGGGAGTCAGAGCCATTCCCTGTACACCTTGGGGTGCGACAGGGATGTCCTCTGGCTCCCACATTATTTAACATCTATTTTGACCACGTAGTTCGTGAAGCCTTCAATAGCTGTACCGGGGGAATCTCCATATGGTACAGATATAATGGGAGGCTAATCGATGCCCGGGTGCGGTCAAGGGATGGCTCCCTATTGCTCAACCACGTTATGTATGCTGATGACTTGGTAATAGCTGCTCAGTCAGAGGAGGAGTTGGAGACGCTGCTGCTGAGACTGGAGCGTGCCACTAAGAGGTGGGGCCTTACCATCAGCCCCACCAAAACTAAGCACCTGCCTGGGTATTTTGTACCATCGGACACTCCACCCCCACAACTCCCAATCGGTGATGGGGCAGTTGTGGAGAGAGTGGAGAGTTTCCCATACCTGGGCAGTGTGCTTATGACTGGCTCCAGTTTAACAGCAGAGGTCTCACTCCGAATCAGTCGAGCGGCAATATCTTTTCATCGGTTGCGTAACGCTGTGTGGAAGCTACCTGGTCTGTCGCTCCGCACTAAGCTTCAGGTCTTCTCGGCCACGGTCATTCCCTCCCTTCTCTACGCTTGCGAAACGTGGACCCCCCTAATGGAACATCTTCGCCGGTTAGAAACATTTAGGCTGGCCTGCCTACGATCCATCCTGGGTTTAACCAGACTGGATTGTGTGAGGAGCTCACAAATCCTTGAAAGATCTGGGCAGGGTCCCATCGGTGAGCTCCTCCGGCAGGCAAGGCTGCGATGGCTGGGTCATGTAGCCCGCATGCCCAGCCACCGCATGCCGAAACAGCTTTTGTTTGGCCGGATTGAGGGGGCTAAGCGGGCGCGGCACGGGCTAGAGAAGAGATGGAGTGATGTGGTACAGGAGGACGTGGAGCTGAGTGGACTTGCCGATGACTGGTACCAGCGGTGTCAAGATCGGCCTCTGTGGAGGAGGCTCGTGAAGGATGCTACTGGGCAGTTAGAGGCAGTCGCCCTCCAACAACAACGGAGGGCGGAGGAGCGACGCTCACAACAGCGAGCGGAGCGCCGGGTGGCTAAAGCACAGCAGGTTGGCACAGTAGGGGGCACAGGTGGTGCATCAGCCAGTCATCTCAGTCAGTCGACCCGTGGCACCTGGGTCTGCCCCGTGACCTCCTGCCAGCGGGCGTTCGACACTTCACGTGGCCTCAGGGTGCACATAGCCTGGCACAAGCGTCGTGGTGACGTCACCGCCACTTAGTGGCGAATGGCGGTTGTTGTTGTTGTTGTTGTTGTGTGAGTGTGTGTGTGTGCGTGTGTGTGTGTGTCTGTGTGTGTGAGTGTGTGTGAGTGCGTGTGTGAGTGTGTGCGTGTGTGTGTGAGTGTGTGTGTGTGTCTGTGTGTGTGTGCGTGTGTGAGTGTGTGCGTGTGTGTGTGAGTGTGTGTGTGTGAGTGTGTGTGTGTGTGTGTGTGTCGTGTGTGTGTGTGTGAGTGTGTGTGTGTCTGTGTGTGTGTGAGTGTGTGTGAGTGCGTGTGTGAGTGTGTGTGTGTCGTGTGTGTGTGAGTGTGTGTGTTCGAGTGTGTGAGTGTGTGTGTGTGTCGTGTGTGTGTGTGTGAGTGTGTGTGTGTCTGTGTGTGTGTGTGAGTGTGTGTGAGTGCGTGTGTGAGTGTGTGTGAGTGTGTGTGTTCGAGTGTGTGAGTGTGTGAGTGTGTGTGTGTGAGTGAGTGTGTGTGAGTGCGTGTGTGAGTGTGTGTGTGTCGTGTGTGTGTGAGTGTGTGTGTGCTCACCGCAGCACTTCGTGCCCCAGGAACTCGTATAGGCGGCTGGTGCTGTCCCCGATGATGGTGGAGCGGAGGTGACCCACGTGCATCTCCTTGGCAACGTTCGGGGACGAGAAGTCAATGACGACCTGCAACAACAACAACAACAATAAGCACCACCACGTCAACAACAAGCAACAACAACCACGACAATCAACAACAATCAACACAATGAACACTGACAAGAGCATTCACAACAATCATATCAACAACAACAGCAATTAGCAACATCGATAACAACAACACCAATCAGCAACATAAACAACAACCGCCAATTCGCCACTAAGTGGCGGTGACGTCACCACGACGCTTGTGCCAGGCTATGTGCACCTTGAGGCCACGTGAAGTGTCGAACGCCCGCTGGCAGGAGGTCACGGGGCAGACCCAGCAGGTGCCACGGGTCGACTGACTGAGATGACTGGCTGATGCACCACCTGTGCCCCCTACTGTGCCAACCCGCTGTGCTTTAGCCACCCGGCGCTCCGCTCGTTGTTGTGAGCGTCGCTCCTCCGCCCTCCGTTGTTGTTGGAGGGCGACTGCCTCCAACTGCCCAGTAGCGTCCTCCACGAGCCTCCTCCACAGAGGCCGATCTTGACACCGCTGGTACCAGTCATCGGCAAGTCCACTCAGCTCCACGTCCTCCTGTACCACGTCACTCCATCTCTTCTCTAGCCCGTGCCGTGCCAGTTTAGCCCCCTCAATCCGGCCGAACAAAAGCTGTTTGGGCATGCGGTGGCTGGGCATGCGGGCTACATGACCCAGCCATCGCAGCCTTGCCTGCCAGAGGAGCTCACCAATGGGACCTTGCCCAGATCTTTCAAGGATTTGTGAGCTCCTCACAATCCAGCCTGGTTAAACCCAGGATGGATCGTAGGCAGGCCAGCCTAAATGTTTCTAATCGGCGAAAATGCTACATTAGGGGGGGTCCACGTTTCGCAAGCGTAGAGAAGGGAGGGAATAACTGTGGCCGAGAAGACCTGAAGCTTAGTGCGGAGTGACAGACCAGGTAGCTTCCACACAGCGTTACGCAACCGATGAAAAGATATTGCCGCTCGACTGATTCCCAACCCAGAGCCCAGGCCTACTGATGGTATCATAGGCCTTGACCAGGTCAATAAAGCAGAGATGTAGGTCTTGTTGGAATTCCCTACACCTCTGCCGTAGCAGACGGACAGAAAATATGGCATCTGTGCAGGACCGCCCTTTCCTGAAACCGCATTGGGGCTCCGCAAGCCTCTCCTCAGCGTGCCTGGCAAGGCGATGTTGAATAATCCTTGCCAGGATCTTTCCCGGCACACTGAGGAGTGAGATGCCCCTGTAGTTGTTACAGTCTGTGCGGTCCCCCTTCTTAAAGAGGGGGACCACCAGGGCATCCTTCCAATCCTGCAGAACCCGTCCAGTGGTCCAGATTGTTGTTATGATGTCATATAGGGCAGTCTGTGCACAAACGCCGCCCTCCCTCAGCATTTCGCTTGGGAGATCATCTCTGTTCGCTGCCTTTCATGGTATCAGACTCCGGATCGCCTTCAGTACTTCCTCAACAGATGGCACCTCAGCCAGCCACTCACAGGGGGTGACTTCCTCCAATATTTGAGGCACCGCAGCCTCAGCAGGGTCATCCTCACTTTGTGCCACGATGTTTTCCTGGCTGAGGGATTCTCCCTCCGCCAGGACCTCACAGAAATGCTCAGCAAATCTGAAAACCTGTTCCTTGGGGTCGGAGATTGGATCACCGTTTTTTCCCCTAATGATGGTAATAGGTGTGGCGCTGCAGGTTACTTTTTTGATGGAGTTAAATAGAGATTTGTGATCGCGGGCCATTGAAGCAGACTCCATCTCCTCAGCAACCCGCGACCATCACCCATCCTCAACGGCAACAACACCCACTCACTCACTCACCCACTCACTCACCCACTCACTCACTCACCCACTCACTCACTCACCCACCCACTCACTCACCCACTCACTCACTCACGCACTCACTCACTCACTCACCCACTCGCCCACTCACTCACCCACCCGCCCACTCACTCACCCACTCGCCCACCCACTCACTCACTCACTCACCCACCCACCCACCCACTCACCGATCCACCCACCCACTCACACACCCACCCACTCAATCAACCAACCACCCACTCAACCACCCACCCACCCACCCACTCAACCACCCACCCACCCACTCACCCACACACTCACCCACCCACTCACCCACCCACTCACTCACTCACCCACCCACCCACCCACTCACCCACCCACCCACTCACCCACCCACTCACTCACTCACCCACCCACCCACCCACTCACTCACCCACCCACCCACTCACTCATCCACCCACTCATCCACCCACCCACTCACTCACCCACCCACCCACTCACTCACCCACCCACCCACTCACCCACCCACCCACCCGCCTACCCGCCCACCCGCCCACTCACCCACCCTCCCACCCACTCACCCACCCACTCACCCACCCACCCTCCCACCCACCCTCCCACTCACCCACCCTCCCACCCACTCACCCACCCACTCACCCACCCACCCACCCACCCTCCCACCCACCCACCCACCCTCCCACCCACTCACCCTCCCACCCACTCACCCACCCACCCACCCTCCCACCCACCCTCCCACCCACTCACCCACCCACCCACTCACCCACACACCCACCCACCCACACACCCACACACCCACACACCCACCCACCCACTCACCCACACACCCACCCACCCACTCACCCACCCACTCACCCACACACTCACCCACTCACTCACCCACCCACCCACTCACCCACTCACTCACCCACTCACTCACCCACCCACCCTCCCACCCACTCACCCACCCACCCTCCCACCCACCCACCCACTCACCCACCCACTCACCCACCCACCCACTCACCCACACACCAACCCACTCACCCACACACCAACCCACCCACCCACTCACCCACCCACCCACCCACCCACTCACCCACTCACTCACCCACTCACCCACCCACCCACCCACTCACCCACCCACCCACCCACTCACCCACTCACCCACCCACCCACCCACTCACCCACTCACCCACCCACCCACCCACTCACCCACCCACCCACTCACCCACCCACCCACCCACTCACCCACCCACCCACCCACTCACCCACCCACTCACCCACCCACCCACTCACTCACCCACTCACCCACTCACTCACCCACCCACCCACCCACTCACCCACCCACTCACCCACCAACCCACCCACCCACCCACTCACCCACCCACCCACCCACTCACCCACCCACCCACCCACCTACCCACCCACCCACCTTCTTACGGGCTCCTGTGTTGGGGGGGCTGACTCCGTGAAGGAGGAGGCGAGTGAGCTGGCGTGCCAGAAACGCCGTGTCTAGGTACACGTTGATGAAGCCTGCACGGGCAGCGGGGTCAGGGGTCAGGGGTCAGAGGGTCAGGGGGTCAGGGGGCGCACATCCCACGTGAGTCCCTCTCACTCACAATCACTCATCCACTCACCCATCAACTCACCCACTCACTCACTCACCCATCCACTCACCTCACCCACTCACAATCACCCATCCACTCACCACACCCACTCACAATCACCTATACACTCACCCACTCACTCACGCACTCACCCATCCACTCACCCACTAACTCATTCACTCACAATCACACATCCACTCACCTCACCCAATCACCCACTCACAATCACCCATCAACTCACCCACTCACTCACCCACCCACTCACTCACTCACAATCACCCGTCCACCCACCCACTCACTCACCCATCCATCCATCCAATCACCCACACATCCACTCACTTACCCCCCCACTCATTCACCTACCCATCCACTCACCTCACTTACCAATCCACTCACTCACTCACTCACCCATCCACTCACTCACTCACTCACCCATCCACTCACCCACTCACTCACCCATCCACCCATCCACTCACTCCACTCACCACTCACTCACCACTCACTCACCCACTCACACACCACTCGCTCACCACTCACCACTCACTCACCACTCACTCACGACTCACCACTCGCTCACCACTCACCAATCACTCACCACTCACTCACCACTCACCGCTTACACCACTTACCACTACCTCACCACTTACTCACCACTCTCCCACCGCTCGCTCACCACTCACCACTCGCTCACCACTCACCACTCACTCACCACTCGCTCACCACTCGCTCACCACTCACCACTCGCTCACCACTGACTCACCACTCACTCACCCACTCACTCACCACTCACTCACCACTCACTCACCACTCACTCACTCACCACTCACTCACCACTCACTCACCACTCACCGCTTACACCACTTACCACTACCTCACCACTCACTCACCACTCTCCCACCGCTCGCTCACCACTCACCACTCACTCACCACTCACTCACCACTCATCACTCACTCACCACTCGCTCACCACTCACCACTCACTCACCACTCACTCACCACTCACTCACCACTCACTCACCACTCACCGCTTACACCACTTACCACTACCTCACCACTCACTCACCACTCTCCCACCGCTCGCTCACCACTCACCACTCACTCACCACTCACTCACCACTCACTCACCACTCATCACTCACTCACCACTCGCTCACCACTCACCACTCACTCACCACTCACTCACCACTCACTCACCACTCACTCACCACTCACCACTCACCACTCACTCACTCACTCACCACTCACCACTCACTCACCACTCACTCACCACTCACTCACCACTCACCACTCACTCACTCACTCACTCACCACTCACCACTCACTCACCACTCACTCACCACTCACTCACCACTCACCACTCACTCACCACTCACTCACCACTCACTCACCACTCACCACTCACTCACCACTCACCACTCACTCACCACTCACTCACCACTCACCACTCACTCACCACTCACTCACCACTCACTCACCACTCACTCACCACTCACCACTCACTCACCACTCACCACTCACTCACCACTCACTCACCACTCACTCACCACTCACCACTCACTCACCACTCACCACTCACTCACCACTCACTCACCACTCACTCACCACTCACCGCTTACACCACTTACCACTACCTCACCACTCACTCACCACTCTCCCACCGCTCGCTCACCACTCACCACTCACTCACCACTCACTCACCACTCATCACTCACTCACCACTCGCTCACCACTCACCACTCACTCACCACTCACTCACCACTCACTCACCACTCACTCACCACTCACCACTCACCACTCACTCACTCACTCACCACTCACCACTCACTCACCACTCACTCACCACTCACTCACCCACTCACCACTCACTCACTCACTCACTCACCACTCACCACTCACTCACCACTCACTCACCACTCACTCACCACTCACCACTCACTCACCACTCACTCACCACTCACTCACCACTCACTCACCACTCACCACTCACTCACCACTCACCACTCACTCACCACTCACTCACCACTCACCACTCACTCACCACTCACTCACCACTCACTCACCACTCACTCACCACTCACCACTCACTCACCACTCACCACTCACTCACCACTCACTCACCACTCACTCACCACTCACCACTCACTCACCACTCACCACTCACTCACCACTCACTCACCACTCACCACTCACCACTCACCACTCACTCACCACTCACTCACCACTCACTCACCACTACTCACCACTCACTCACTCACCACTCACTCACCACTCACCACTCACTCACCACTCACTCACCACTCACTCACCACTCACTCACCACTCACTCACCACTCACCACTCACTCACCACTCACTCACTCACTCACCACTCACCACTCACCACTCACTCACTCACTCACCACTCACTCACTCACCACTCACTCACCACTCACCACTCACCACTCACTCACCACTCACTCACCACTCACTCACCACTCACTCACCACTCACTCACCACTCACTCACCACTCACTCACCACTCACTCACCACTCACCACTCACTCACCACTCACTCACTCACTCACCACTCACCACTCACCACTCACTCACTCACTCACTCACCACTCACCACTCACCACTCACCACTCACTCACTCACCACTCACTCACCACTCACTCACCACTCACTCACCACTCACTCACCACTCACTCACCACTCACCACTCACCACTCACTCACTCACTCACTCACCACTCACTCACTCACTCACCACTCCCTCACCACTCACCACTCACTCACCACTCACTCACTCACTCACCACTCACTCACTCACCACTCACTCACCACTCACTCACCACTCACTCACCACTCACTCACCACTCACCACTCACTCACCACTCACTCACTCACTCACCACTCACTCACTCACTCACCACTCACTCACCACTCACTCACCACTCACTCACCACTCACTCACCACTCACTCACTCACTCACTCACTCACCACTCACCACTCACTCACCACTCACTCACACTCACTCACCACTCACTCACCACTCACTCACTCACTCACTCACCACTCACTCACTCACTCACACTCACTCACCACTCATCACTCACCACTCACTCACTCACCACTCACTCACCACTCACTCACCACTCACCCACTCACTCACCACTCACCCACTCACCACTCACTCACCACTCACCACTCACTCACCACTCACTCACCACTCACCACTCACCACTCACTCACTCACTCACCACTCACCACTCACCACTCACTCACCACTCACCACTCACCACTCACTCACCACTCACTCACCACTCACTCACCACTCACTCACCACTCACTCACCACTCACTCACCACTCACTCACCACTCACTCACCACTCACTCACCACTCACCACTCACCACTCACTCACTCACTCACCACTCACCACTCACCACTCACCACTCGCTCACTCACCACTCACTCACCACTCACTCACCACTCACTCACCACTCACTCACCACTCACTCACCACTCACCACTCACCACTCACTCACCACTCACCACTCACCACTCACTCACCACTCACCACTCACCACTCACCACTCACTCACCACTCACCACTCACTCACCACTCACCACTCACTCACCACTCACTCACCACTCACTCACCACTCACTCACCACTCACCACTCACTCACCACTCACCACTCACTCACCACTCACTCACCACTCACTCACCACTCACCACTCACTCACCACTCACCACTCACTCACCACTCACTCACCACTCACTCACCACTCACTCACCACTCACCGCTTACACCACTTACCACTACCTCACCACTCACTCACCACTCTCCCACCGCTCGCTCACCACTCACCACTCACTCACCACTCACTCACCACTCATCACTCACTCACCACTCGCTCACCACTCACCACTCACTCACCACTCACTCACCACTCACTCACCACTCACCACTCACCACTCACTCACTCACTCACCACTCACTCACCACTCACTCACCACTCACTCACCACTCACCACTCACTCACTCACTCACTCACCACTCACCACTCACTCACCACTCACTCACCACTCACTCACCACTCACCACTCACTCACCACTCACTCAACCACTCACTCACCACTCACTCACCACTCACCACTCACTCACCACTCACCACTCACTCACCACTCACTCACCACTCACCACTCACTCACCACTCACTCACCACTCACTCACCACTCACTCACCACTCACCACTCACTCACCACTCACCACTCACTCACCACTCACTCACCACTCACTCACCACTCACCACTCACTCACCACTCACCACTCACTCACCACTCACTCACCACTCACCACTCACCACTCACCACTCACTCACCACTCACTCACCACTCACTCACCACTACTCACCACTCACTCACTCACCACTCACTCACCACTCACCACTCACTCACCACTCACTCACCACTCACTCACCACTCACTCACCACTCACTCACCACTCACCACTCACTCACCACTCACTCACTCACTCACCACTCACCACTCACTCACTCACTCACCACTCACCACTCACCACTCACTCACCACTCACCACTCACCACTCACTCACCACTCACTCACCACTCACTCACCACTCACTCACCACTCACTCACCACTCACTCACCACTCACTCACCACTCACTCACCACTCACTCACCACTCACTCACCACTCACTCACCACTCACTCACCACTCACTCACCACTCACCACTCACTCACCACTCACTCACCACTCACCACTCACCACTCACCACTCACTCACTCACTCACCACTCACCACTCACCACTCGCTCACTCACCACTCACTCACCACTCACTCACCACTCACTCACCACTCACTCACCACTCACTCACCACTCACCACTCACTCACCACTCACTCACTCACCACTCA